GCTCATCCGAGCGTCGGCCCCACGCTTGTAGGAGCGTGCGTCGAGCGTTGGCTCAACTGAATATAGCTTAACCACAACCTCTTTGTCACGTTTTCAGTTGGTAGAGATGGCCACAGACACCAATCAACCTCTGAAGCCCTTCCTCCACCTCGGCTACCGGCACTGCGACGGAGAGACTGCCGTTGGCCCTGGGACACCATTCCTGCACGCGCACGAGGAGGCCGAGGCCGCCAAGAAAGCATACGAGGAAATCTTTGGCGTCTACACGCCTGAAGACGATGACGGGGAACGCGACGAAGACGATGTACAGGACACTCTAAATCAAATTGACGAGGTCGAAGACCCAACAAAGGTCTCGGAAGTCATCAGGAAGCGTTTGGGCGAACCGAAGGCCGACAATCAGCTTCTGCGGGACGACCTCCGCGACAATCAGCTTCTGCAGGACGACCTCCGCAAGCAGGTGGAAGACGGGACAAAGGACGAATGAAACACCCGCCGCCTATACATGCGGTGCCTGGACCAGTTCTTCACCTTCCTAGCGCACTCCAAGGTCACCAACACCACGGAGTTCCAGCAGAAGCCCGACCTCGTGCTGGACTTCATGAGGTATGAACCCAGAGCTGTAATGCGGGTCCATCCGGGTCCAAAGCGGGTATTCATCCATTCACAATATCACAGCACTCTGAAGCCACTGCGGCCCTACACAGATTTTAACCGAGTTGCAGTGTGTTCTCAACTCAACTCAACAATACGCACTGCAAAAAAAAACATCTGATTCTACGGGACTGCCAACGGACCTTCCGTTATAGCATGCTTCAGTAAAGAGGTACGGAAGAACCGTTTGAGTTGGACCATGTAACAAAATGTAGGGTACGGACGCCTCCGGAAAATAATTGCCGCTCACCTCCGTTAAATACGTGATACGGTTGCTCTGCACCCCAGAAATAGGGTACGGAACAACCCGGAACAACCGTTTTGCTTCAACCGTACAACTAACTGTAGGGTACGGACAAGTCCGGAAAATAATTGCCGCTGTTGTCCGTTGATTTTCCGTTGTTTTTTCTCACAGTGCGTTTACCGAACAGTAGAAGTTTCGCTTCCCTAATTTTAAAGTTATAAGTAGCCGACAAATGCTGTGGGTATGTCAAATTTTGAGGCCGGGCCCTGTTCCCGAATACCCTCCCAGTAACTCGTTTTAGGTGTCAGCGCCGCAGGCCTAGCTATATGTGCGCCAGGCGCGTCGCAGCGTAGCAGTGTTTCATGAGATATCGCGAAGCCTGTTACGCGAGACGTGGTCTGGCGTACATGTAGCTAGTTATAAATTGCTCTCACATTAGAACTTTTTGTGAGCAGATTAATTAAATATTCTTTTTCATTCCAATAAAGACACACAACCAAGGTATTCATTAAGGAACGTGCCAGAGCGTCAGAGGCTCAGGAAAGAGCTCCAGGGAAAAGATAATAATTTTAATGAGCCCTATTTCTTGTCTGACACTACCTATGACTACACTACATCTGACAATACATTTCAGATTTACTGTCATATTTTCCATTTTTACAGGTAGCCAAAAATAAATTTAAAACTAGCTATATGTACGCCAGACCACGTCTCGCGTAACAGGCTTCGCGATATCTCACGAGACACTGTTACGCTGCGACGCGCCTGGCGCACATATAGCTAGGCCTGCGGCGCTGACACCCGAGACGGGTGAATAGGAGTGTCTACACAATTTTTTTTGATATAAAGCCTTTTCTACGGTTTAACAGACCATTTGGTCATATTCACCACATTTTTGTTCAGAGATGCCCCCTAGCACCCAAACGGGGGAGCAGGACAACTCGTCCCGGCCGACTCGTACCCGGCCCGATACGTCCCGACCCTATCTCGTCCCGGGTCGAATTTTGAACTCGGCCCACTGGGGCGGCCAACTGGTCCCCAACCATTGTTGGTCCCAGCTAGGCAACGGCAGGCTGGGGCTGGCTGGGCCGCCGAGTCACCCATGGACGTCGTGCGGTACACCAGGAAGGCCATCCACGCTGGTCACATGTACACGAAGCACCGTCAGGTGAAGCTCGGCATCGCATGGCGATGTGACCAGCGCGGGGCCTGCCTGGGCCGGATCGTCGTGGACCAGCACGACAAGGTGGTGACCGCGGCTGACCACACCCATGGCCCAGACTGGGGTCGCTGCAAGGCCGCGGAGTGTGTCCAGGACATCAAGCAGGCAGCAGGCACATCGCGGGCCTCCACCACCTCAGTCATCCAGCCCAAGGTCGCGCGGGTCAGCACGGAGACCACCACAAAGCTGCCGAAGAATGCGGCCCTAAGGAAGATGGTGCGTCGGGTCAAAAGACAACACCTTCCCCCTGAACCCAAGAGCCTTGACGAACTAGACAACATACCCAGACGTTTTCATGTCACTCTGAAAGGTACATATATAGATGTAAATGTTGCGGGCAGAAAACATATGGAGTTTTTCCATGACTATAAATTCCAGGGGACAGATGGCTTCTCTACTACGAACCTGAGGACGAGGAGCGCATGCTGGTGTTCAGCAGTAACCACCACCTCAAGCTGCTGCAGCGGGCGACATACTGGGTCATGGATGGCACCTTTAAATCAGCCCCCAAGATAGTATGCCAGATCTACGCAATCCATGGTTGTGTGAACGGGAAGTGGGTGCCCCTGGTCATCGCCCTGCTGGAAAATAAGACTCGGCGCACCTACGAGAAGCTCTTCGACGTCCTGAAGACGGAGGTGCGCCGGCGCTTGCGGAAAGACCTGCAACCTGAGTACGTGTCCACAGACTACGAGCAGGGGGCGATATCGGCCGTCAGAACAGCCTTCCCAGGTGACACAGTGGATCAAATAATTATATCCAGGCATGATACAAGTGATATAGCCGTTGTTAATGCCAAAATACCGTGCCCTAGACGCCGAGCTCTGTGCGTGCCTCTTCCATCTGGGGCAGACTTTCTTCCGCCAAGTGCAAGCTGCGGGGCTGGCGATCGTCTACAGGGCGGAGGAGAGCGAGGGGATGCGAGCAGACTTCCACGCTCTCATCGCGATCGCCTTCGTTCCTGTGGACGACGTCGAGGACGCGTTCGACGCGCTTCAGGAAGTCTCCGACCCTGCCTTGCGCCCTGTCTTCCAGCATGTAGAAGACCACTACGTGAGAGGACGACTGCAGGCGCGCAGGCGGGGTGGACGCGTCCGGCAACGAGGGCGGCCCATGTTCCCTCCAGCCCTCTGGAACTGCTACAGCCGGGCTGAGCAGGGGCTGCCCCGCACAACAAACACCTGCGAGGCATGGCACCGTCGCCTCGGCACGCTGGTCGGGAAGAACCACCCTTCGCTGTATGTCTTCCTGGACCAGCTGCAGGAGGTGGCGGTGATCGACGTCGAGTGTTCCCGTGCTGAGGCCGGCCACTCCCCCCAGAAGCGCCGTGCCCAGTGCGAGGTGACCGATGCGCGCGTCGCCCGCATCCAGGCCCGCTACGAGGAGTACCGAGAAGCAGACGACGTCTTATCATACCTGCGTGCCATTGGTGCAAACGTGGCGGGCAACTTGTAAGCCTGTTAAGTCCCATTTACTTGTGATTCTACGTTGATTCTCTGAGTGTCTTACTTAT